ACCGACTGTTGCATCCAAGGCGCCCAGGAGCCCTTCGGAGCAACACTCTCGTTGAGGCAGTGACTTGCTTCGTAGGCTGGCATGGGCTCCGTTGGCAAATGCTCCGAATGCTCCAGATGTTCCAGATGCTCCGCAGTGTGCACCCATTCCTTCCACGAGTGCAGTGAGACAAGTGCCCTCCACCAGGCACCAGCCAAGCCAAAACCAGCAGGAAGTGTGTTAACATGACTTTGCCTCTGGCGGCATGTGGCTGTGGTTGCTTTCTTTTGGTGCCTCCAAGCTCATGGAGTGATGGGGATCACAGATCTCGCATGCACATTCAGCGATTGCTTGGCGATGCCTTGTCGAACTCTGCCCCGTGATCTTCCTGTTTCAGGGTCGGGGACGAGTATAATTTCAGGCAGCAAGTTGTGCCAGGCTCTGTTGAACCGAGACGCTGTCTTGACAAACTCCAAGCCCACGTATGGGAGCGGGCTGTCCCACGGCACATGCCATCCAAACATAGGAGGCAGCACATCCTCGCGAAGACCGCGAGACCCAGCCAGAAGAGAGCCCTGCACTCTCGTTTCCGAGGCCCAGACCTCCGACGGATTGAAGGCATACCTCGCCATTGCTTTAACGTGTGTTAACCATCATGGTCATCGTCACCTTCTGAAGCTCAATTTTCCCTTCACCTTCAGATAGTTGTGTTCGCCCTCAGACACATCTTCATCATCAGCATCCCCTCCCCTCCCCTCCCCTCCCCTCTCACGGCATTGTTGGGCAGCAATCGGAAACGCAAGGAAGAGTGACAGCGGAGAAAAGCAGGGGTTCGGAACATAATGCCGACATGCAGATGAGACAAGATGAGGAGGAGAAGCGTTTGGGCTCCAGTACTGTTTTGACATCTCCAAACTCGACAATCTCATGGGATCAACTCCTCCATTGCAGCCGCAAGACGTCGTCGTAGAGCCTGGAAATTTGCCCACCCACCAACCCCTCTTGGCCATGTTCTCGTGATTGAGGAAGTACAATGTCACCTCGGAGCGGTGGCGCAGCAGTCCGGTTGGTTCCTAGACCGGGCTCCGTTGGTTCAGGCTTTATGATCACGAGGCTGATGCATCCTCCTCACCGTCTTTGGCATACATCGGATGGCCCTCGTTCTCGCCAACCTCATGGAACAGCCTGACAAAGAAGCGGTCACACGCAAGTTCCCGCTCCGCCCTCCTCGAAGCGAGCTACGCACAGCCCTCCGCCCTGGCTGAGCTCTGAACCCATCAATAGGGCCACAGGCAGCCTGCATCGACTTTAGAAAAGCTACAAGGTCAGGTCGTAAAGATGATTCATGGCGTTCCCTTGGACTCGGACAGAGTGACAAATATTCGTGGGGCTGACAAGTGTTTCCAAGGTGCCTTGTGGCAGCCTTTCGCTTTGAACGTCATCGGCCAAGTCTCGATTGTGGGGTCCTGGATTTTATGACTCCACGTTATTGCAAGGGGTTGCAGAACGACCGGGCCCAGAACCATCAAAAGCACGACATGAACCGGTTCTCCTCAAAGTGCTCTGGGATTGGCGGCTGGGTGGAGCTTGTGCCCGCAGACCAGCGAGCATGATCGGCAGCTTCCTGGCCCAAATGCACAACAAGCTCCACAAAGCGGGAATCCCAGTCACGGCCTTCGCTGCAGCCGCTTGCTGGTCATGGCTCCTCGGCAAGCATCCCATGCAAAATGCCTGACCGCTGGGCTTTTGGCTGTTAATGAAATATTGCCGGCTGGCATTCCGTCGGCTGCGGCAGCCGCCGCCGCAGCTGCAGCAGCAACAGAAGCTTGTCGTTCCGCTGGCAAGCCTGACAGACACAGAATGGAGCTTCACAGCATTGGAAGATTGAGCATGGTGGGACGCCGTGAACCTGATTTAAGCTGCAGATCAAGCAGCCCATCTGCATTGCAGCATCTGCTGCCTCCTCTCCAGCAGCTGAGGAATCTTTCATGGCCTGATCCGTCAGCGGAGGGGTCGGCGGTGCCACCGGAGCCATGGGATGGTCATAGTCTTCCACAGCCAGAGGTGGAGAGCCAGAAGCTGGCGGCTCGACTGAAATATGCACATGTGGCAGCTCGTGCTCCATTTCCTCGGGCTCATGGACCATGGGATCCATGTGGTGTATGTCATCCATGTGGTGCATTTCCTCAGGCTCATGGACCATGGGATCCATGTGGTGTATGTCATCAACGTGGTGCATGTCATCCTCTGGCATGGGATGGCTGGCATGGTCGTCGTCTCCGTGCTGAAGGACGTCGTGCCATCCATCAGCTTCATCATGCTCAGCAGCACCTGCATCTGTGTGGATGCTCCAGGGTTCTGTTTCCTGTACTGGCTCATGACCTCCACCGTGCATGCCCCAGTGGTCAGAGATGTGGGCGTTCCACTCGTCCCCATTCATGTGGTCGTGCTGGTCGTGAGACATGTCCGATGGCAACGTCACCGGTGGGGCGTGGCTAAGCACGGGAGCCGCATGGGGAGGAGACTTCGTAGTGACAATGTCGAACGTCACAGCACGCTTGGTGGTGGTGGTGGTCGCTGGGCGGGTGGTCGTTGCTGTCGTGGCCTTCTTGGTAGTTGTGGTCGACTTCTCAGTGGTCGTCGTTGAGGCCTCCGTGGATGTTGTAGTGGACGGGTTACTTGTCGTAGTTGTTGTGGCACCGGGAGTCGTGCTGTTGCGCAAGGCTGTGAAGCCGTTCTGTGCCTTAGCAGCGGTTGGTGAGAGTCTCCAAGTTCAACCGACTGTTGGAAATTCCCATCCCTGCCTCGTTCACCTCAAGCTGCACGGCTGCTGACCTTAGAACAGTTGGGGGCGCAGATCTTCACTGACTGACAGCTGGCTGCATCCATGGGGCGATTTCTCCCCATCTTGCTCCACAAGTTTGAGAGCTTCCTTGAGAAGACTCTCCTCGGACGTCACATGCCGAAACAAATCTGGAGACAGAGAGAGGCAAAGAGAAAGTTGATCGAAAGAAGCAACAAGCTATACAAAACCACGTGCCGCAAAGTACCCAAAACCACAACCAACCACCCGCAAAGCGAGAAGCTCGTTCTTTCGCTGCCAACAATTCTCGGTGTTCACGAGCTACAAAGACAGGACTTTCTGGACGGGTTGGGACAGGGTGGAAGACAGACAACGACAACGACCAAGGCACGGCTCAGAGCACGGTACGGCTCGAACACCAAAAGTGACCACGAAATTGCGCACGATTCTGTTGGAGCCTGTGACTCTTGACAAAATCAGCAACGGCCAGATCATTCTAAATTCTAAACAAAACGAAGGATTTGGCGAGATCAGTAAGACAAAAAAATTGAAGCCGGATCTTTCTGTTTAGGTCAAAACAAAACGGCTCACATCCACAACTGCTGCTTAAGCTAGAAAACCTGCCCGAAGTTCCCATGCCCTAGACTCTACTTGTTTCGGTGAGCTGCTCTGTAAGCTGCATCTTCCGGGCTAGCCTCCTTCGCGATCTCGGACGCCCTGCGGACACCAAAACAGCATGACGTACATGGGCAACTTCTTTGGATTTCACGCACCGTGCCTCTCCAAGGCACGCTCCAGGGTCTTCTGGTGCTCTGACTTGCCCTCCCTTTGCTCATGCTTTGGAGCCTGGAATTGCTCCAGTCAGGACGAACACACGCACACACAAACACACATACACGCCAACTCTCAATGCAACATTTGGCCCAGATGTGGGGATCCGTGCAGTCCAGCCGCCTCTCTTCTCATCACCGAAGGCTGGCCACCCGCAGAGATGGCGACATGTGTTCGACTGCTATTGGCCGCAACATCCTCGGCACGGCGCAGGCTGTCACATGTCCTTCTTCGCTTGTGAGAAAGATGATCGTCTCCTGCTTGTGGCGTATCTACTTTTCCTTCTTTTGGAATAGCCTAGCTTGAAGCCTCAATCCGGACAGGCCGACCCAATCGTGCCTGAATCCTGGTTTCCGTGGTCCTTGCCATTGCAATCGCTCTGCCAGTAAAGCCATTGCAGCCCTTCTTCTCGACTTCTTGCTCCATACTCCCGCTGTCCTTCTTCTTTCTACAAAGCCTGAAAATCTTATTAGAGTTTCCTTTGCCCCTCTCTTTTTCCGCATCTCTCCTAGTGTTGCAGACGGATCTGTGACAACCGAAGCCAACCAAGAGCCATCGACAGCCTTTGCCTTCGAAGCCGGGCTAATTTCCTCCTGCCGAGCTGCCTGCGTTTCCCTGTGCTGGGAGCCGTCGCTTTCGGAGGCGTGTCTCCATTCTTCAGAAGCGACCACCTCGGGCTTCTCAGCCAAGCAGGGAGGATTGTTGTCTGTTGCCACAGTTGTCCGGCTTCCCTGTGCCAAGCGACCGTGCATCCCGTATAAGTGAAAAGCGTTGACACGCAGACCTTAAGCTGTCCATCGGTGCGTCAACAAGGCCTTTTGCACACCGGTTGGAGCGATTGCGTTCGCAGGCGACTAAGCCGGGGACAATTCTGCGCAAGATCCACTGCATCCTCCGCTTCCTAAGGTCGGGGACCAGGTCTTCGAGAAATTCAGAGAAGAGTCTGCTTTTGCATGCGGTTTCCACACCGAGAATGCCAGAAGTTGCGGCAGAGATGCCTTCGTACAGCGCTGGGCGCTGGGTTATGGATGGTTTGCCTGACCACGAAATTAGCCTGCTGAGCCGAGACGGCTTCGGCTTCAGAGCACGTGTGGAATAGAACAGGCCGCGCCGACAACCTGACAGCCAGCGCCCGAAGTGGCCATCATGCATGTGCAACACGCGGCCTCCGGAAGTCCTGAAGAAGGCCGGCACGCGATCACAGGGAACGGTGTGCCAGTTCAGTTCGCAGTACAACCGCTTGGGCCAAGCACGTGGGCAGTAGCTCCAGGGCATCAACATGGAACTCAGATCAGAGGTCACCGCCCCATGGTGCTAACATGAGGCGGTCCGTTTTTGCACCTGCTTCTTAGGGTTTGGCAGCTTGTGGCGCATGCCCACATACGTTTCATTCCTTCGGCGTCTGGAGGGCTGAGTGGTGCTGGGCGTTGGCTTCCGTAGCATGCACCAGCCAGCCGAGAGTCTGGCTCACGAACCTGGCCTTGGAGCCCAGGCAGGGGGCTACACAGCACGATGGGACACGATGGGACACAGCACATGACAGTCCCGAGCAGAGGGCGTGCTCCAGGAACGTGCGATTGACTTTGCGGCTTTCTTCGATGAAGGCGGCCAAGTCGATGGCCTTGGCCGGACCGTCAAGGCGCAAGCAGCCGTTGAGGAAGTCGTCGGATTGGATGAAGCCATCGTGGGAAGCATCAAGCATGTGGAACAGCTCCGCAGCATCCTCTTCCTCAGTCGTTGTTGCATGAAGCGACCAGGGTGCCAATGGTGGAAACGACCCAAGGACCCTCTCTAGGCACGACGGCACATTTACGCCAGGCAGACAAGACTCATCCACGTCAAGGGCCGCAAAAAGCTGCTGCATGTGCGGATTGCGCAACTGGGCCTGGAAGTCCGGCCAGGTGATCTGCTCCTGATCGCAATGCCGCACCGGAGCTGCAAGCGATGTAACAGCACTGTTAGCAGCAATTTGGTTGTGAAGCTCTAAATCCACTCGTCCTTCTCCGCCTCTCTGAAGAGTAGGCCTACTTCTTGTAGGAGGTAGCGACGCTTCTCCTCTTGTGCGTTGTCCAGCGCGCTGTCAACGAAAATGCCCGTGAGTATGTTCCTAGGTGGTGGTTAAACTTCTCGAAGCTCAACATGGATTGCAAGAGTCGCCCCAACCCCATCCCAGCAATGCCTACTCAATTCCTTGACGCTTTCCTAAGGCAGGGTCAGAAGGGCGAAGGCCATGAAAGCAATGTACATGCAGAATGGGACCGCCATCCAAGGCGAGATTTCCCAGATTAGGGGCTCCAGCATCTCTCGCCATTCCTGGCCATCTGTAATGGCCTGGAACAAGGCCAGCATCGTTTCGGGGAGCGAACCGAAATAGTCCTGCAGCTTCTCGGATGCAGAACCATCGGCCTTTCGAGCCACTTTGTAATCAGTGACGCACTGAGTGAGGAAGACACCCACTGCATAGAGCACCAAGAACATGAAAGCCAAGGTCCAGATGAACGAGCGCAGCCCCTTGACAATCGCAGTCATGATGGCCTCTGGCACTAAAAACAGTTTCAATCATCCTGCCAACAAGCACCACCTCAGCTTGCCATCTATCTCCCTACGCAGCACACATACCCGGAAACCAGCAGCAAATTCACAACTACTACGTGCAGGACCTGCAACTCGCTGCTGATATGCATCATTCGCAGCACTCGCCTGAGACAGGTCAGACATCTTCAATCCCATTCCGTACCGCGACTGCATGTTTCGCATACCGTGCAACAAGAAGATGTCAGCGACAAGTCACAGGATGCGAAGCAGTCGGAAGATGCGCAAAGCGCGAAGAACGACACTGTCCGGCATCAAGTCAGAATACTTGAGACCTTTCAAGGTACCATGCTGGTAGATGACAACTGTAAAGATCCTGGGTCAGTCGAGACAAATGCCACTTATACCTGCACACATGGCATGCGGATGCAAGGGACAACTGCAACATGCTCTTAAACTTCTGCGGGAAACGCTTGCTCCATGACCTGTGCCAAGATCAGCGTTGTATCGAAAAGATTCCAATTGCGCTCAGGCCCAGTGAGGAATTCGCAGCCCGCCACTGCAAAGCGGAGCGACAGCTCCACAGCAAATACGAACGCGAAGAACATTTCACCTGAGGAGCATTGTCGAAAGCTTCTGCGGGATGGCTTTTCGGAATAGTCTACTCGTTGTGTCAAACAAAAAATGAAGCACACGAAACAGCACCCAGGGGCTTATGGCAAAAGCAGGCGGTATTGAGAGGCTCCATGTTTCTGCCTCATGCTGGGTCTGCATGCCGATGGAGATTGCGTTGGCCAAAATCATGGCACCGATAAAGCCGCTGAATTCTGGTGATTCCACCACGGCTGCAAGCCTGGACGCCGCAGGTGCAGTCAGCTCCTTGATTAATAGTGGGTTCGCCATTTGCATGTAGCGCCGGGATGTTCGAATAAGCTGATCTTCTCGCGGCATGCTTGGAGCTTTGAATTCCTTAAAGCGACCCCCGCTGCTTTGTCCAAACTTGCGAAATTTTTTGTTCGTTGGGGAGGTGCTTCTGGATCTCAGCTTTCGGGGGTGGCGGTGCCACTCATGCAAGGCCTCAGCGATGGCTGCGTCATTGAGCATGACTTCGGCACCTCCTTCCGAGATACCTCGAGTGAACTGGTGAGCGGTGGCAGCTCGCCCCCAAGGCGAAATCGAATCGGCACGGTGGAGGTTGACGGGCAAAGACATGCGTACGTGCTGTGATGGGGCCGATGGCGTCCGCCGCGCGTCCGGCTGGCGACTTGGTGAGGGTGGATGTGTGATGGAGCCTGTCACCGGCACTCCGATGTCAGTCAACACTTCCTGGAGTGCCGCCCGAGCTTCCATTCGGATCGCTCCTCGCCATGGCTCGGATCCATCAGCTTCAGTTGGCGGCTGCATGTTGCTTTGAGCCAACTGCCATGAGCTCTTCTCCCTTTGGGGAAGGCTCTGCTTCTTATGTGACCTTTTGGTCAAGATTATACAGAGTTGCCTCTGCTGTCTCACTCACTTTGTTCGCACTGCTCTGACTGCGGACACTACCGGCAGCTGACCTTCGTTCTGCTACCAGTTGATGAAAGGCACGCTCACTGTCACGGTGTGCCGTGCCTTTCAGGTATACCCTTAAATTGGCAAAATGGAGATTACGTTCGTACTCCAGGCTTTGCACTACAAATTAATCACATGCCGGGCCCCGCCATGCCTGGCCCGGAGCGGCTCTCCTTTCAGGACATTTCGCCAGAAGGAAGCTTGCGTTCGGCAAGATGGCCCAGGAGCAGCATCAGGCTCGCGACCGCAACGTTCCACCCGTTCCTGCGCTGCGTCCGCCGCGCCAGCCTGGTTAGGAGGGTCAGAGAGAGCCCTGCAAGGCCGACGTACTTCAGCGCCGTCAGCGCCCGGAACAGCTGCCTCCATGGCTCCACACCGCCACTCCTGCGGGCAACAGCCAGCAGTGTGGGTCTCGCCTGGAAGTGTTGGAAGCCAGACTGCCGTGTGTAGCAGGTGGCACCCATTTCGTCAGCTGTCTGCTGCAGCTTGGCTATCTCTTCTTTCGGTCCGTGGATCTCGATGCGGTGTGGCTTGGCAAATTTTGTGAGACCACCGCAAGCAGAAACATTCGCGAGGTGTGCGAGAATGCCGGCCGCACCTGTGTAACCTTCGCGGCAGAAAAGGGTTGTCCCTGCACGGGTCCAGCCGTAGTACATGCAAGAATCTTCCGCTCGGGACTTGTCCACCAACTCAGCAAGTGCACCAGCAACACCCGACTCATCCTCAACCCCAAAATAAGCATGCATGGTGCACAAGTCAGACTTTTTCCCTTCGGTGCAAAGATCCACTGGCTTGAAGGTCACGTCCGACTCCAAGGCAAAGAGAGCCGCACCAAGCTTCTTCGCCGTACTCATGACCTCCGGATAAAGACAAGCCGAAGCGTTCGCCGCATGTACCGGCGAAAGGCCCTGCAAAGGCTTTGAACTTAAAACTTAAACCCTGAATTCATGGCCTTTTCCAGCTCTGCTGCGGGTCCGTGAAACTCAATGTCTGTGAGCTGTGCGGCGCCGCCGAAGGAACCCACTCCCGGTCATCTGTCCGGTCCCATGCATACCAAAGGCAGCCTGCCTCGGCTGCTTGTCCTGGTTTCGAAGCTCGCAAGAAGCCTCCCCACAGCCTCCTCGTTGGTCACTTTGTAGTGAGCATGGATGGAGCAAAAGTCGCGGAGGACTGTCCGATCCAAATGAAGGCTACACAACGGTTCCGCATTGACTGCCGATGCCAGGGCCACGCGCTGGAAGCCTTCTTGTCGCTCATAACACTCCGCACCCATCTGCTGCGCGATGCCCTGCAGCTTGGCAAGCTGTGACGGTGGGCCGTGGAGCTCCAAGCACCGCAAGCGGGTGCAGTCAGCCAGGCCTGTGCAGGAGGCAACATTGTTGAGATGCGCCAGCACCGCATCGCTGTCCAAATACCCCTCGCGGCAGAAAAGCGTGTTGCCCGCCTTTGTCCAACCATGGTAAACGCAGCCCCGCTCCGATTTCGTCCTTGTTGCCAAATCGCCGAGCACAGGCTCCGCTTTGCCTTCATCCGTGAGGTCATAGTATGCATGCAAAGTGCACAAAGATGCAGGCTCGACGTTTGCACTCGGTGTGAGGGGATGCATGAAGCCTGCACCCCCATCCTCTGTAAAAAGCCTGCCATTGACGGCTTCGGCAGCCGAGCGTAGTTTCTCAAGTTCAACAGCGGGACCATGGAATTCTATCTGGGTGAGCTTGGCGGCATCTTTGAAAGTGCCTGCTTTTCCGAGATTTTCCATATGGGTAAGCACCGCCTGGGCGTCCTCATAAGCTTCATTGCAGAACAATTTGTCCCCGGAACGATCCCAAGCATACCACAGGCAGCCGCTTTCATCCTGCTGGACACGGCACGAACTTTTAAAAGCTACAAGTATGTATAACAACCTCTCTATCAGTTGTGTGTTTTGCACACACTGCTGACTTGGTGTAATCCATAAGCTTCTGGCCCTGGGAGCCTCATTCCTATGAGCTACACTGCTACAGGATCTACAGCATCCCGAAATTGAGTTCTGCCTTGGTGTGCTCGACGAAATCCTGCAAGATGCGTCCGGCGACTGCCTCGTCCAACACTTGGAAATATGCATGGATGGTGCACAAGCTGCTGGCCATTTTCGCTGCAGGGGTGCAGGGGACAGGGGCCGCTTCACTCGGGTCAACATGTCGCCGGCAAAGCAAGTAGCGTCACTGAACATGTTGATTTTCTTGCCACTGCATCCCCGAAACGCAAAACAGCAAGCAATGTTATTGTTTTTCTTTTTTCTTTTTTTCACAGCGCACCAAGTTTGTCGGTCGCACGCGCTTCACGCACGTAGGAGCAACCTGGAGGGTAGCTCGGCGTCAGCGGGTGCTACGACCCAACAGAGCAAGCCGTGCCAAGGGAGTGTCGAAGCCAAAGTGTGCTGCAACGCAAATGTTGACTGTGCGTAGCCCGTGCTCCAACACTCATTGCTTATGCGCTTCACGAGTCTCTCCTGCTCTTCGTTGTCGCCGAACCATCGGCCTCCCCTCCTTTTGCCAGCCGCATGCCCTGACATGCCCACGTAGTCTGGCCTTGGTCTTGGGCGACCTCCACTGGGACCGCGGGGACAGCAAAAAGGTGTGTGGGGAAAAAAACCAACGTCTTGGTGCGGGACCTCAATGCGAAGATGACCGTCGCATCGAGGTCAAGCCGCTCTGGGGAGGGGTCCAGGTTGCAGTCGACACCACCTTCGTGTCGCCTTTGATTGCAACTCCGGCCGCTGCCGCTTCGTCGTGCTGGGCATAGAAACCGGCGGCAGGTAATGCCCCGAGGCTGTTACTCTCCGCCGGCTCATGGCCCGCTGCCGCGCCCGGTGTGCACCCGCACCAATGGCCATAAGCGGAGCTTGTAGGTTGTTGGGGCAGCAGCGCTGTTTGCGTGTTCGCCTAATATTTATTGCAGCTTGGAGACCACTGCAGGGTGCATGCATATCTGCTTACGTGCTTCGGGGGTGAGCCGCAAATTCGGCGACTCCCCGCTCCGCCCATCCTCCAGCTGCGTAAGATCTCCGTCATTGTGTTGGCGCGAAGACTAGCATGCGCGCCCCCTGTGCGCCAGAAGGTCGCTGAGGAGCGGAGGATCTCCGTCGACATTGGCTGCCCCGGAGAGCGGCAGGGAAAGGAGGCTGGTCGC